GAATCGCTGATAATATCCAGCCAAACCCATGAAAGAGCGTACATCCGTCGTGCAACGGGGTTCCGACCAATCCACGATGGCTTGGATCTTGTCCGCTAAGGGACGAATGCCTTCCGGCGTGACATAGTGACCCAAGTACTCAAGCTCCTGCTTGGCGAACTCGCACTTGTCGCGATTCGCTTTGTACTTGGCCAGTCGCAAACGATCCAAAACAGCGTGAAGGTGTACGATGTGCTCGTTCAACGTCCTACTATAAACCAAGATGTCATCGAGGTAGATGAGGACGCTGCGATCGAGCAAGTCGCGAAACTCGGTCGTCATAGCTGCTTGGAAAGTCGCGGGGGCATTGGTGAGGCCAAATGGCATGACAACCCACTCAAAGTGCCCGTACCACGTTTTGAACGCGGTTTTGTACCGATCTTGAGGCTGGATTTCAATCTGGTGGTAACCTGACTTCAAATCCAACTTCGAGAAGTACGTCGCGCCGCCTAACCTCTCAAGGAGATCATCGATCCGAGGGAGAGGGCCGACGTTCTTTACGGTTTGTGCGTTAAGTTTTCTATAATCGATGCATAACCGTAGATCTTTGTTTTTCTTCCGGACGAAGAGAACAGGTGCACCGTATGGCGAACAACTAGGGCGAATCCAGCCCTTGTCAAGGAGGTCGTCGAGTTGTGCGCGAAGCACCTCGAGTTCCTCTTCGCTCATGCGGTAAATGCATCCACGCGAAGGGACAGCGCCAGTCTCGAGAGTGATTCCGTGACGTATGGGCCGGTCCGGAACCGTTCCGGTGGGAGCCTCGAAAACGTCTCCATACCCGTCCAAGAGGTGAGTAATGTGTGGGTCCGGCGGTGACGCGGCTGGTCCGTCCGGCGAGGGGAGAGCATGCAAAAATACAAGGCCCATCTCCTCAACGTCATTCCGAGCTATGGCGTCGCGAATTCTCGCAACAGAAACCACATGACAAGCAATCGAAGTGTGAGGGGTCGCGACCTTACATGGGACTAACACTCCGTTCCGATCACGGATGTGAACGGTTCGGTCATGAAAGTTCACCGGATGATCGGCGCTACGCAACCAAGACATGCCTAAAATCATGTCAAACTTGGTGTCGAGGATGTTGAAAGACACCGGCTCACACGCAAGGGGCGCAAAGTATACCGGGACGCCGTCAACGCATCGGTCGATTGACTTTTGCATGCGGCCGTCCGTGAGTGTACCTTGCGTGGGTTGCGTCTTCCTTCGAACGCGCGGGCCATAAAGGCTTGGCTCATGAAATTGCGAGATGCTCCGCAATCAATCAAGGCACTGCAAGTTGCCTTTCCGATTTGAATGCGGATATAGAGCAAAGGCGCGTTGGTCTCAGCGTACCTTTGGGTGGCATACTCGCGGTCAATCTTCGCAAGGTAGGAGCGGAGATCGACAACCGCTACTCCGTCGTCCGTCAACGGAGCTGGTATTGCAGTGTGCAAATAGGAGCGTAGATTTGTCATCAAGGCGTTGCAATGCAGCCTTGGCAAGGTTCCGGTTGAGGGTAGAGGCATCCAAGCGAAGTCCTCTCTCGTGAGCGGGTCAAGCTCTTCAAGTCTTGACCACGCCGTCGAGTCCTCGGAAGTCAGTGGCGAGCTGACCGGATCACTTGCCGACGGTGTACAGGCTGCGCATACGCTATCTAAGTGCACGTGGCTAGGCTGGTCTAATGGTGGTACCAGCAGGGCGGCATAATCCTCGTACATAGCACGAGGATCAGCAACTAACGCATGCTCCCCGGTAGTGACATCGGTTGCTAGCAAGGCAACCGGTTCCGGCGGAGTGAGGAGAGGCGTCGCCCCTCTCCTTGCGTAACTCGGTTTCCCGAGTTAGCTGGACGGGGTACGCGTGCCTTGCCCTTGTCCGGGCATTGTGCGGTAGTGTGGGTTACACTATTGCACCATAGGCAATATCCGTACGGTTGACGCAAGTCAAATACCTCCTTGGTTGTGTTGTATGCCGTCCATGGTTGCTGCCCAGTTCCCGTCGTTGTCGTCGCTTGTGTCGCCGATTTCTTTCGAACTCTCTTGGGACGCTTCGGCGGGAGCGCTGTGACAGTTCCTTCATCACTCGAGGATGCTGCTGCAGCGTGGAGATCGACTGATTCCTCAGAAAACACGGCATTGTTATGTGTCGGTCGTTGATAGCCCTGCTTAGCCACATAGTGCGACTGCTGCCATTCGTTAGCGGTCTTGTCATCCGTTTGGATGACCAGGTTCGCACGATCCAGGATAGCTTGGAATGAGGCATAATCGTACTCGTTGCCGAGTGCCGTTCGCAGTCCTGCACACGATCGTGAGAAGAACTCGGATCGTTGGTTTGGAAAACTCAAATCGAACCCTGGCGTGGTCACTATCTTCTGCCACTTAGTTGTCCAGTCTCGAGTTGGCATACTACCTTGAGAGCAGGTGTACACCTCGTTCATGGCCGCCTTTACAACGCTGCGGACCATGAATCGAGTGAAACACAGTTGCTCGAACTCCTTCCACGGAATGTGCGTTTGGAGTTCGGCGATGGTGCATTTCTTGGTGGCCGCAAGATGGTTCATCCATGCCTGTGCTCCTCCAATCAGTTGGAGGTAGAGCGCCTTCATCATGTCTTCAGCCGGGACAGTGCGGCAGGATGCTTCCGTGAGGAAGCTTTGCCACCATGTCAAGGCGTCCGTCTTGTTGTAGTCGTCAAACTCGCTGATGTTGAAGTGCGGCATCTTGTATGTCCTTGTAGCGGCGTCCGGTCTTGTCTGCAGCTTGGTGATGTCCGTCTTGATGGCGGCCACCATGCTGCTGATCGTGGCCGGACTAGTGAAATCACCTAGTTCACCGATTAAATTGACGACATGGTCGATGCGCTCGCCGAGTTGTTTCGCCGTGTCTGTCGTGCAGCCTGGCGCTGCTTGGGAAGGCCTTGCCTCCAGAGCAGCAATGCGGGTGTCCATCTGTTGCAGCTGGGAGTCCACGATCCTGACGGTTGCTGCAAGCGTCTTCACGTTATGGTTAAGATCGTGCTGCAGCTGCCGCGTAGACCTGGAATGAAGGTCACCCATGGTGCTGTTCCAGATAACTGTGCGCATTGTGCATAGTAGAATGTCTGCCAGGTTTTGTCTCTCCTGCTGTACTGCCGCCGGCTCGGCGCCTGCTACGGGGACATAACGCATCCAGTTGAGCACAGCTGCCCACTGATCGTGTTGAGAGATCAGAAGGTCGGCACTGTCGGCGTTAAGCTTGTCGGTCGCCAACTGCTCCGCCTCAGCTTGTCACTGGGCTTGGGCTGCAGCTTCTGCTGCCAGCCTCTGTTTTTCTGCTTCGGCAGCATCTTGCCGTTCCTTGGCAAGGGTTAGTGAGTCCGTATAGGTCTTCACTCTCTGAATGTAGTCCGTGATGGACTAGTTCGGCCCTTGAACAGGACAGATCGGCAATGGTTCGGCATTACTAGATGTCGAAGTCTCAGACGATTTTCCGCTGTTAGGCTTGTTCGCCATCTGAGTGCTGGTCTGTGGCTGCTGTCGAAGTGCAGGTGGCTGTTGGAGATCTGCGAGCCATTTGCTGCGTCGTGGCTGTTCGGTGGCTTGCCCTGTTGGCATCAGGAAACTGCTGCTGAAGGCTGGCCAGTCCGAAAGGTCGCAGAACAGTAAAGAGGGAGAGGGTGGGCACAGGGGTAGAACAGATCAAGCAATTTGCATACAGTCCCTGTCCCAATTATGGACTTAGACACCTAATCAAAAAGAAGAAGCTAAACTTTCCCCCAAAACAACTTAAAATTTCGTAATAAGAAATCATAATGAATGAATAATCAATAAAAATTTAATTAATGATTAATAACGAATTAATACTCTCTTAATCAGGGTAACCGGCGTTCGGGATGGGCCGAACGCCCGAACGTATGGGACCCCTTGGGGATGCTTTCGGCCGTTCGAGCCGAACGCGGACCCAAAAAAAA